ACTTAAAAATTGGATCCTCCAATAAAAGCGAAATCTTGTCCAAGGAGTCCTGAGCTATGCAAACATGCCCAATTGTGCTTTACAAATCAATTAATTGTGCAACTAAAGATTTTAAAGATAAAAATATATTTTAAAGATATAGTATAGGCCCCTAGGCATTATAATATATTGATTGTTTTAATACATATTTTAAATCAAAACGTTTAAATGTTTTACAAATTACAAATCAAAATTTCAATGAATAGTAAATAATGAATAATAAATAAATAATAATACAGTAATAAAATAATGATAATATTATAACTCACTAATATTATAAACAGAAGTGTGGAGAATGCTGCTAATTTACTTACAAGGCCTAGCTTCTTGAATATGAATGATTAGGCATATGTTGTACAAAAATTTCTCTCAATGCAATAATTCTTCAACTTTGATTTATTGTTTACAAATAGACCTCGGCTATTTGTTGGTTTGAAGATGACCAGCATATTTTATTTCATAAATTAATGTTTACGAAGTCATAGGCCTAGAGGCCTAGATACAATTAGAAAACATTCATGTTATTAATATTTTTATCATACATTTACAGGCGAAATTAATATTATCGCCGACGATTCACAAACCTACTCTGTCTGCACAACCAACCTTTCTCCTCTGCAGTGTTGACTCTTCTTAGGAGCCTCATTCTATATAGAGTAGGCTGCTAGCAACTAGGTACTGTATAGGCCTAGATGATAGACTTTTAAATCAAAAAGATAATCGTAACGAAAAAAAAATAAAAAATCGTCCTCACTTTATCTTCTCGAAATAATACAGCACGTCACTGATTAATTAATTCCAAAGTTAGGTAAATATGATTATACAGTATATTATATTTACAATGATATGTTAAAATCCCATAATTGAATTGTCCTCATGAACAGAATAATGAAAGAAAGTTTATGCAGCATCAGTGTTTTATAAAATGTTATAAAGCTATACGCGCGCACGCTGTTTGGTGACAACATGGCGCTCATGCTCCAAGTTGGCCAAACTCTCTCTATCTACGGCTCTGCAAGGATTCAAGATTCAGTTACAAGGATTAAACTCGAGGTAGGAAAAACCTATCTCGAGAGAAGCCCCCATTCACATCCCCACCTCTTTAGTTCGCAAAGGTAATCTCGAAACAAAGGCCAGGGGCTTCTAATAAACATATGGGCCTGTACTTCTTTTCGACTTAGCACTTACATTTAGACGTTGTCTTTGATGGAACTTGTGATAGCGACGTGTTGACCAATATTAATTTTATTAACTATAAATTGCAAATTGCAAGTGAAGTGCTGCGAAGTACAACTGCATAAAATGTTCTTCGAACAAAATTATTTATGCGGGTCAAGTGAAAATAATGAATAATAAAAATATAACAAATAATATGAGTACGACCCATTGTCTATATATTATTAGAACAGCGTTGGTACAATCATAGAGTTTCTTTGCTCTATGGTACAATAGTGTTTTGCTGCAGTGACATCTCTCTGCTGGCGATGGCTCGCTGCTGCTGGCGATGACTCGCTGCTGGCGAATCGATCTGCGCATGTGTATAAAATGGTATTTATTTCCACATCTAGATGTGTATGCAAACACTATGCCAGTCTACAACAAGCGTCGCCTAAATGTAATAATTAGCACGTTGAAATAGGCTAGTAAATAAGTTTAACTGGGTTCGTAAATAATATTGTCCTCAAAATATTGTGGCAGAGACATGAGCCGATTAAACGTAGAAATAGGAAACCTAGAAATATAGTAAAAACGCTGAATAGTACTCCAGCGTCGCGACATGCCGACGTTGGTACGAGTAGGTTAGTCTACAAACGTCGCCTAAAGTAATTGATTTTACCCGGCAGAACGAAGGAAGGAAACTCCGCTTTTCCGTTGTCTCATCAGGCGATTGATTTTTGACAAACAATGACCTTTCAGAGGTCAAATTGCTGTCAAGAATATGAATTGGCTGCTTCGCAGCAATTATTTCAAATTCAATACATTGTATGGTCGAATTAGATTTTTACCTGAAAAAAATTCTCCCCAAAGCAAATTCGGTATAATTAGAAGCATAATTTTATGTAGATTAAGAAAATAATATGCCTCAATTAAGAGGATTTGAGCATTTTTCTCTATTTTGAGATTCAATATGAATATATTTAACCCAAATCTACACAGGTCAGTATGGGCCTCCATACGTACATTTGTTTCTTGAAATAGAGCTCGCTGATTGGCTGAAAGTGCTATATACAGCCACACTGAGCCGGCCAGCATCGCGAGGAGGGAATTTGAAATGTTTTAATTTTGCAGGTTAGTATTTACCTCATCTTCTTTGATGTGGTCAGTCGTGTAAATTTGGCATGATAGATCAAATATTTATTTGTGTAAAGTAATATCAAATCAAGAATAATCTATTAACACAAAATAAGCCTAGGAGTCCTAGACTAGACATAGGCCTATGCCCTGGCTAGGTCATGGACAACCATGCCGTGAGGCAGCAATGGAGGCTAGGGGGGCTGGCCTACAGACAGGCTAGGCATAGTAGAGTAGACGTGCTTTGTCTGCAAAGAAAGAGCTACTTGTACAAACATTTTATATGGAATATGCAATATTACAAAATATTCGAAAATGCTATGCCTAAGACTTTTAGTAAATATAAGACTACTAATACTTCTAGGCCTAGGCTAGGCCTACCTATGCCTAGGCCCCTACCCTAGGCATAGTACTAGGCCTAGGCCCTAGT